AATCTCCAATCTCAAGTAAACCTATCTTAATTAGCATCATTCAAATATCCAGGGTATGCCTCCAAACCAAGGGTATCCGGGGATGCATCCTGGAGGAATGCAGCATGGAGGGATGCAGCCTGGAGGTATGCCACCGGGTGGTATGCCATACCAGGGCGGCATGCCTTATCAGGGAATGCCACAGGGAATGCCACAAGGAATGCCACAACAGATGGGGGCAATGTATGGAGGTCCGCCAATACACAACCCTGTAGGTATCACACAAGCAATATCAGTTTTACAAATATTTAAGGATTAGTTTGAATATATTTTTTTTTCATGTTATGGAGATATAACACACAAAAAACGAAGTGTACCGGTTTTTTTGTGTTATAGCTCCATAACATGAAAAATATATTCAAATTAATCGTTATAATTTGTTCTACTATACACAATCCTTGCGGAAATACACTTTTATTGATAGACTTTTTTCTCTTAGAAAGTATTGCGCTGCTGTATCAGCCAATCAAAAGCGACGTTACAAACGGCGACGTAATTTTTTTATGGCATAGGCTGATAACATAATTTTTTAAGCCAATGAAAATGCTTGTTACATGCACGATTAAATTATTACGCAATACTTATAACATGTACGACAAGTAACTGTTACAGCCAAAACAGTAACATGACGCCAGTGGTTATATAGACACAACACAATAAAACCCTCTCTAACAGCCCATGTTGGAATCAGCTACTCCAAAACTAAGTTTGCATGATGAAAAAAGATGGTGTTAAAAGTGGATAGTTCCATTTTCACAGAATCAGAAATATTGATAAAATAAGATAAAATAAAATACAATGCACACGCAAACATGTTTACTATATTGTGTATATTGTATATATCAAAACTTAATTCTAACCGCAAACATGTTTACTATATTGTGTATATTGTATATATCAAAACCAAATTCTAACCGCAAACATGTTTACTATATTGTGTATATTGTATATCAAAACTGAATTCTAACCGCAAACATGTTTACTATATGGTGTATATTGTATATATCAAAACCAAATTCTAACCGCAACCATGTTTACTATATTGTGTATATTGTATATATCAAAACCTAATTCTAACCGCAAACATGTTTACTATATTGCGTATATTGTATATATCAAAACTTAATTCTAACCGCAAACATGTTTATTATATTGTGTATATTGTATATATACAAACTTAATTCTAACCGCAAGCATGTTTACTATATTGTGTATATTGTATATATCAAAACTTCATTCTAACCGCAAACATGTTTATTATATTGTGTATATTGTATATATCAAAACTTAATTCCAACCGCAAACATGTTTACTATATTGTGTATATTGTATATCAAAACTTAATTCTAACCGCAAACATGTTTACTATATGGTGTATATTGTATATATCAAAACCAAATTCTAACCGCAAACATGTTTATTATATTGTGTATATTGTATATATCAAAACTTAATTCTAACCGCAAACATGTTTACTATATTGTGTATATTGTATATNACTATATTGTGTATATTGTATATATCAAAACTTAATTCTAACCGCAAACATGTTAACTATATTGTGTATATTGTATATATCAAAACTTAATTCTAACCGCAAACATGTTTACTATATTGTGTATATTGTTTATATCAAAACTTAATTCTAACCGCAAACAACTGATCCAAAGTGTTTGAAACTGTTTTGCTGGCATGACGAAAGCTTCGATAAATCATTTCTGAATAGAAAACCCTATTTTATGGAACGTTTATGACAAAATAATAATAATAAAATAAACAAAATTTAATCCACAATGTAGTATTCTGAATGTGAGACTTTGATGGGGCTCGACCGGGATTCGGTCCCTGGACCCTGTACATCAGACTACTATCGTTCTAACCGCTTCAGCTGCCTAGTCAACGGAAGTGTCCAGGTCCAACTATGTCACAGTTATTTCCAAACGAAAGTTAAGGGGAGATAACTGTATATACGCAAAAAACTACACTACATGGATAATTAGTACAACTTCACTTAGAAATCAGTTAGGATCACATTTAATTTTGCAAAAGGATAAACGGACCCTGTCACATTCAATCTGGTGATAAATTATCTTAAGAATCAAAATCCTTTACAATGCTAAATTAACTAAAATTAAGAAAAAAATCATCTTACAAGAAAATATCATTACAGAAAATTATCTGTGCTGTAGCAAACTGTACAAATCACCCCGTGTTTCTACTAGTTAAAATCAGCCACAGTGCCCCTGTTAAGTTAACTCCTCAATGTTCAAAAAACACCTAAAGGCATTGTCGTTTGTTTAATGTATTTTTGTATATAATTTGTAAAAGTTTGCAATACGTGCTTGTCATTTTTTCTGTCAATTTTCAGCCCATACCGTTCGTGACTCAAGTCCAGGGAGGCCTTTCCATCGGGAGAAGCATTGTCATTAGTGGCATGTCAATCGCTGGCAGCGAGGGGTAACTAGTTCTTCATTGTAGTGTTACATAGGGGTCACTGGCTCGTTCAGTAGAGAAACCGGCAGTGTCAGTACATCGTAGACTTGCTAAGTTTTTTTATGAACGATTTTCTGGCTTCATTTTTACTACTAGCTTATCTCCCCCTAGTTAAGAACTTAGAATCAGACATCCAGGTGGTACACATTATTAGAGAGAATTGTTTTTTTCCAAATGATTCAATATTCTAGAGACGGTGGCCAGTCTAAGTACATCGGTACAGTCATAGTAGATCCACATCATAGCAATACACATGAATTGGTGTTGCCAAGATGATGATGTCGCCTTATTTTTTGATAATGTAGAAAACTTTTAACCTCTTGCGTGGTAAAAACATGATTCCTTATAAATTGCTTCTGTTGCAATATTTTAAATACCGTATTACGTACAATGTATACTATTTACTATAGATACAGCTAACATGCGTTTAGAATCCATTAGTTAGATTTACAGCGAAAGAAAGTAAAATAATAGGTATTGTAATATGCGCGATTGACACGTTAAAACACGTTATTTATCAGGTAAAGCGAGTTTTCGGATCGATTAATGGTCTCGTTCAAGCAAACCAAGTCATCAGTAAAAGTGTAATATCTAAATTTTACGAATATTCTTTAACTTGTCTTCCAGAACCTTAGGTTTCTACTGGTACCGTTAAGCAACATCGTTGTCCAATGTCCTGTATCCGTTTCCATATTTACGCTTGTGAAATCTAATATCACCTGATTTGCTAGTTTTTGACAAACCGAATGATAACGTAATATCTACAGGAAAAATAAATGTTCGTTAGATTAATAAAAAAATAATAATATGTTTTTAGAGCTACAAGTCCATTCCGTGGCAAACTGATTCCTTTTTTAACAAAAGTGTGGTACAGACCCCTTAGGCCACACAAGTGTGGTACAGATCCCTTAGGCCACAACATTATTGTACACTGTAGGAGTACTTGCATGTATTTCTATGTTCAGTTATTTTCAATGCATTTAAATTTTTGTGGAAACAGCTCGACTTTTACCAGAAACACGAACTTTGTAGATCCATATATTTTAGTAAATCTGGCTGTACAATTTACTATGTTAGCTAAATCAATGTGTGAAAACATACATCAAACAAACTTACTCGTTATACGATTGCATAATACCACGACTTCCGAGATATATGTCGACTGCTGACGGATAAACTTATACCACAGGCCTTTCAGGTTGATGAAGAATATGGAAAAGGTTTTAATGTCGCCATCAGGATATTACAGAAAAATAGGCTAGTTCTTTGTATGAAATGTAGGTCAATATTTCTATTATGTTTATTAGAATACCATGTGGTTTTGTTGTCACTATCCGAATCCTCGATGTGAAGACGCGACATTACTTGGATTCGACTTTGATTTATATGGCGGGTATCGTGTCGTTGATGAAGCAGAAGCCGTTACCTGTCCGGAACACGTTATTATTCTTGTACTTTTTCAAGGGTATCCATGTAAATCTTTCTTTTTTTCATATTTGCCCCTGTTATTTCCGTCTTTTCGTATTGCAGAGTTATCTGCTCTTGTGAGCAGGTATTGATTGTTTCGTCATTTGTTTGTGAGAGTAACGTGATCAATTTTTGAGAAAACGACGTAATTTTCTCACCCAAACCAATGACGTGACAATCAATGTCTGCTCACAAGAGAAGATAACTCTGCAATACGCAAAGACGAAATGAGTTCGAATTGTGTTGGTTTAACCAGACGATGTGCATTGAAAAAAATACACTCACCAAAACGAACATTCCATTATAATTTAAGGCGTGGTTTGAGTTGCGTGCAATATCATTGCATGTAAGTTTATGTCATATCTTCATCGTACACAAAATGTTCCTCTTTCCAGTCGATTCGACATTAATTTTCAAGAGGACCCGTCTGGTGAAACCATCGGCCTTCATTTTAACCCCCGTGTCCAGACTGGAGCGGACAGCAATGTCACCGTCCTCAACTCAAGGTCGGGAGGAAGCTGGGGAACGGAGGACAGGGGAGCACCGTACTTCCCGTTTGGGTTTAATCAACAGTTCGAACTACGCTTCATTGTGGATCAAGATAGATTCAGGGTAAGTAGGATATTAGATAAACCTAAGGCCAATGATCGTAATGATATGTTCCTACCGGATATTGATGTTACAAATTAGAGAATAGAGACACAACATCATTTGGTTGGGTCTAATACCTGGTATGAGGATATAGATGAGTTGTGTCCCCTTCTTATTTAGATGCCTCACGGTTGGTTGGCAATAGCATTAAACTTCTAGTTAAATATTTAAAAAAAACGTCATTTTGTATAAAATACTAATAAGCTGACATCAACCATTTTAATTTGCAGAAAAAGGTTACAATGTGATTAAGTGCCAGTCGGTTAGTAATACTGATCATATTTGTTTTGCAGATATTCTCAAACAACAAACCGTTCTGCGATTTCCCTCACAGACTGCACCCACCACAAAAGTTTGGATGTATCAGCATCTCCGGGGACGTACAGATCTACCAGATCAGATTAGAATAGACTAGTAATGTGATACCTAGTCGTATATAAATGGTTTATACAATGTATACATTTTAGTTATACTATTCATGAAGGCGCTGATTCACATCAAGACATTTATTTATTCACAACAGTTTTGTTATATTTGTACTGCATAGGTTTTACACTTTGTTCAACGTTAGAAACTGTTTTAGTTATCATTTCCCCGGTAGCAATATCAGAGTTTACTCAAAGATCCGCCATACATATATGTATGCAAATACATTATACTGTTTTATTGATATAGATAATATTTTCAATACATCTGTTGTTACGTCATGATCTACAAGAAACTTTAGTTTGAACCCCTTGTGGAATTAGTGATTTTCTTACGCGGCCTCTGCTTGGGGTCAAAACTCCACCACAATAAAGATGTTGCGCCAATTTCAACATTTGAAATCCAATTATTTTCTTCCTTTCTAATTATTTGTGTTTTATTTCCGGTTGCTTCAGTTCTTTCGCTTTTGCTCGTAGTGTTCAAACAAGCAAGGGATGTTGCGGTAATCTTTCCCCTAACGGGGACAAACCAAAGCCTTTAAAAATACTACTTAGTATTGTCTCGCTGCTTGAGATTTAACTTTAAATTGATAGCTTTAAGGTCTAGTAATTGCTGAACGTAACAGAAATGTTCACTGCACTGGTGGATTATTAGTATTATTATGAATAAATGTGTCAACAGATCAGTTATAATTATGATGTAGCCTTAGAATAGATAGCAATGCTCCATTATTTGTCTACTGATGCTTAGTTCTCAAGTTCGAATAGCACCAGAAAACGTAATTCAAACTCAAAAGTCAGTGTTTTGTTTACGTTTTTAAAAAAAATGGCGCGTGCTATGACTATGCATTCTGTTTTGGACTATAGGAATAAATTCACCTATAGAAATACTTGTTTTCATACAAATCCTAAAGGTCATCATAAAATTTTAATGTGCTGACACAAAATATTCATCTGAAGTGTAATATACTGCAAAATACGATTTGGGGCATGACATTCGCAAAAACAGGAAACGCTGATTGGTGACTTCAGAGCGTTCTGTTAATATCGAAAGTGAGACCCGGGTGCTAGAACACCCATCGATATTCTTTCTTTAATACAACCATAAATTAACATAATTCATCCTCAGAATTTTTAAATGAATAATGGTTTGGTGATTCGATTTGGGTACTATCACCTTAAATGATTTTATACTTTCCATTTTCCTGTTTTTTTGCATACGTTTCGGAAAACTTCGGACTTTTTATTCTCTTGAATAGTATTACCTCTGGTGTGTAATCAGTGCACACAATGGACATATACTGCAGTAAATGTTCACTTTGGCGTTCTGCTTCGACAAACAAAAGTTTAGATAGGTCAATCATTGCTTCATCTTTCTAGTGAAGCTTTAACCCTTTCGCCCCTAGGTAACTTTAGTAGACTCTACCATACATTTATCTTGGTGAGTCCATTTCGGTCTACAGTGGTGAAGGGTTAAACTAATGGCGATAATGACTTGTCAGTGTGACCAGCCAACGTTTCATGCTACTGTGTCCAGGTTATGACATTTCAGTGAGTTTGCACTTATCATAGCATGACCATAGCATCTATCAACACTGGATGCGCGTGATCCTAGCTGTTGAATTTTATTGAGGACTTCAAAGTAGCGTAATTTCCTTTTCTCAAAATGATACTAGTATTCCTTGCTGTTCCTTGAAATCACTTGTTTAACAGTGGCGGATCCAGACTTGTTTTGGGGTCATTCTGTTTTAAAAGAATCTTAGTATTTGATGTCCGCAATAAAAATACTTTTATTTGAAATTTTACATATTACAGTTAAAATACATGGCCATATTGAAAACTGGTCAACAGTAAATGTCAGGCAAGAGAAACAATAACATTATGATAACAAATCTCTATATAAAATATAAACTCTATTTATTTTTCAACAATTATGAAACAATTTATTTCAACTTATATTAATCACTTTTGTTAGCCCGAATGTTAGCGCGTGGGGGTCTAAGTATGGGAGGAAACTGGATTACCCGGAGAAACCCCACATGGTCGGGCAGGTGACCCCAACCTTTTCACCTGCAATCGGGTAAGCTTTCCACTGCACCACCCGACCACCAACAAGTCTCTAACAAGTTATGGCAATGGAGTCCTAGTGTGCACACAAACATCCTACTGCTGGACTAGTTCTGTAACTCAAACCCTCAGAGTTGCACGTAATTCAGCAATATACGATATGTTAACCCAGTTGTATTGAGTCGGATACGTTAACCCAGTGGTATTGAGTCGGATACGTTAACCCAGTGGTATTGAGTCGGATACGTTAACCCAGTTGGATTGAGTCGGATACGTTAACCCAGCTTTACTGAGTCGGATACGTTAACCCAGTTGTACGGAGTCGGATACGTTAACCCAGTTGTATTGAGTCGGGGACGTTAAACCAGCTGTATTGAGTCGGGTACGTTAAACCAGCTGTATTGAGTCGGAAACGTTAACCCAGCTGTATTGAGTCGGGGACGTTAACCCAGTTGTATTGAGTCGGGGACGTTAAACCAGCTGTATTGAGTCGGGTACGTTAAACCAGCTGTATTGAGTCGGAAACGTTAACCCAGTTGTATTGAGTCGGGGACGTTAAACCAGCTGTATTGAGTCGGGTACGTTAAACCAGCTGTATTGAGTCGGAAACGTTAACCCAGTTGTATTGAGTCGGGGACGTTAACCCAGTTGTATTGAGTCGGATGCGTTAACCCAGCTGTATTGAGTCGGATAAGTTAACTCAGCTGTATTGAGTCGGATACGGTAACTCAGCTGTATTGAGTCGGATACGTTAACTCAGCTGTATTGAGTCGGATACGTTAACTCAGCTGTATTGAGTCGGATACGTTAACCCAGTTGTACGGAGTCGGATACGTTAACCCAGTTGTATTGAGTCGGATACGTTAACCAAGCTGGATTGAGTCGGGTACGTTAACCCAGTTGTATTGAGTCGGATACGTTAACCAAGCTGGATTGAGTCGGGTACGTTAACCCAGTTGTATTGAGTCGGATACGTTAACCCAGTTGTATTGAGTCGGATACGTTAACCCAGCTTTATACGTTAAAAATATTGTATGTACTCCAAACCGATTGGAGAGATTTGTCGTCGCCATAGCCTTCGCTATCATTGCTATGCTGATGACACACAAATTTACATGGTCATAAAACCACAGGACAGTTGGAATACAGTCTCAGAAAGTCTGGAAGCTTGTCTGACAGATATCAGTATCTGGATGAACGCCAACATGCTTAAACTTAATCAGGAAAAGACGGAACTAATCGTCTTTTCCCCAAAGTGTCAGCAAACAATGGCTCTCCAGCTCAAGGTTGGTGCCAGAACTATTGAGACTGTTCCAGCTGTTAAAAACCTAGGGGTATACTTTGACAGTTCTCTGAACATGGAGAAACAAGTGAACGCTATTGCCAAATCCTGTTACTACCAGATCAGGAACATCGGCTGTATTCGGCAGTTTCTAACTGCAGATGCATGCAAGATTTTGGTGCATTCACTTGTTACCTCTCGGTTGGATTATGGTAACGCCCTGCTCTGTGGTATATCTGACAAACTAACTAGTCGTCTGCAGAGGGTTCAGAACACTGCAGCACGGCTAGTTACTCGTACTCGAAAGAGAGAGCACATCACACCTGCGCTTTATTCGTTGCACTGGTTACCTGTACGATACAGGTCGCAGTACAAAATTCTGGTATACACATACAAGGCACTGAATGGAACAGCTCCTCAGTACCTACAGGAACTTGTTACCCTGTATCAGCCGTCAAGATCACTGCGGTCGGAGTCAGAATCTTTGTTGTGTGTCCCAAAATCTCGTACTGTGACCTACGGAAACAGATGCTTTGGGAGGGTTTCGGCTACGTTGTGGAATAGTTTACCATCTGCTATTAGGAAGTCGAATATCCTGGCCAAGTTCAAGAGGGACATAAAAACTCACCTCTTCACGTCTGCATTTTAGAATCTTTGCAAAGACGTCATGTAAATACCACCCTTTTATTTGTTCAATTATGTGCACATTGCTTGTTAAATGTATGAAAGTGATTGCAAGCCTTTGTGTTTTGTTTTCACAATTATAACCATTACTATTATCCATATGTTGTAAAGCGCCTTAGAGTAATTTTACAAATTATATATGGCGCTATATAAATGCTGTATATTATTATTATTATATTATATTATATTATGTGTTTATATTTCATATTTCAAATAACTATGTTTCCACTCAAGCTTACCATAACGTCTATTCGTGTTGATTCATGTTTTCACTCACGCTCATTGATGTACTTTTATGTGTATTTATGTTTTAATTCAAGGCTATATTGTGAATATTTTTCATATTTCATAGGCTGATTCACTATTGTACATATCATTTACATTAATATTTACATTCCTGTTCATACGTGTTAATTCGTGTTTTACATTCGTTCATCTTCATATTATAGCCGCATGTTGATATACATGTACTTATATTTGATCAACTTGCTTATTACTATCCCTCCATCAATGAAAATCAGCGGTGAAAGTAATTCCAGTACAGCTCCGTCCATATTAAAAATAGTAATACATGAAAATATATTGTTTAGTAACCTGAGCGAGGGATAACGATAACAGTGTATTCCTGTCTGTATTATTTTGAAATGCCTTTTTATCTGATTAGCCTCCAATAACGATTAGTAAGTTTCTCCCAGTGTTGCATTTGTATGTATTTAACGTTACCCGCAAGCACATTGTCTCAACGACAAACAGTGTTTGTTTATGTTGTGTTATTTTGTGTATATCGTTCTAAATCATATCGTTTCCTCTCTCAATACCCCGCCTCTGTCCTTACCGTCTTTAGCTCTAAATCATCCTTCTCTCCCTTTTCCTCCATTCTCTCTCTTTACTCCTATCTCTCCCTTTTCCTCCCTTCTCTACCTTTTCCTACCTTTATATGTATGCACCTATGACCCCACTGTTCCCGTCAATGCTGAGTACGTAGCCGTACACGTGTGTACATGTGTGGATTACAGACCCGATCGCCGTCCTGTAACAGTGTTAATTTTTGATGATTGTGGGTAACGATATAGTGTCCTACAGAGCGGCGATCGGCTGTTTCTACCTTCGTACACACAGTGGCCTATCTAAAAAACAGTATATTTTCTACATAAATCTCCGTAAATTACTAGATGGATGCATGCTCGGTATAATATATGTTCTTACAAAACTGGTATATGCTATACATTTGATCTTATCTAGCGTTATTGATAATTCGAACTTTCTGTTTATTCTCCAACTCCTTCTCTTATCTAGTAATGATGTACATCCAAATCCAGGACCTGATGATCTCCACAAAGACTATTCTATTTTCCACCTTAATTTTCGCAGTCTTAGAAATAAGTTATCTTACCGAGAACATGTAGCGTCGGACTTTGATGTTGTCAGTATTACTGAGACCCATCTTGAAATATCCATAGCAGATGATGACGTACTCCTAGATGGTTATGATATGTACCGTAAAGACCGTGGAACACCGGGTGGGGGGATAAATGTTTACACTTCCAGCCTCATGTGCACACGTCGTCGAACTGACCTGGAATTCCAGGTAGGTGAAGTTGTATGGGTAGAGATCCAGTTTCCAAACAAGAAATTTCTTTTATGCACAGTATATAGACCTCCAAACTGTGTACAAGCTTTCTTGGATTTCTTCCGACTTTCTGTAGAAACAGCCATGAATGAGACACCGTATGTTGTTATAGTTGGTGATATTAATGTTGACCTTCTTACAGTAGATAATAATCACTCACTCGTTGATATAATGAACTTTTTTCACCTGACGAACGTTATCGACAGACCGACACGAATTGGACGCACGCGCTGCACACTTCTTGACCCCATTCTTCTATCAGACACTTGTACTTTTACAATAGCCGACATAATAGAGATAGACCGTGAAATTTCGGACCATGAAGCGACATCTGTAGAACTAAATATAGGGACTAAAATTGTTAGAAAATATAAAAGAAAAATATTATGCTATAAAGACGCAGATTACGAACGTTTTAACAGCTTACTTGTAGCAACGGACTGGACTGATCTATTTTTGAGAACCCATTCCCCGGACGACATGTGTGACACCTTTACATCTAGATATTTAGAAATAGCTGATGAGTGTATTCCTTCTAAAGTAGTCACAATCAGACCTAATGACAAACCTTGGTTTAACTCTGACATGAGACGTGAAATTAGGAAAAGAGACAGACTTCTCCATAAATATAAATCCAATCGCACTACAACTTTAGGAAACAGCGAAATAGCGTTAACAATCTTAAAAAAAGGACAAAAGAATTCACGCGGACATTAACGGTCTTTTAGACACCTTTAGTGATACAAATCCCAGAAGTTTTTGGAAACTTGTCCGCAGATTAATAAAATCATCTCAAACGTCTGGTAGTATACCGCCATTACGGAGTGCGACTGGAAACATAGAAATGGATGACGACATAAAGACTAACATACTTAATGACTACTTTGCTTCTATTTCTACTATCGACGATACTTACACAGACGTACCTGTTATAGAATCCAGAACAGACTCGACTATCTCAGACATACCCTTTAATATTAATGACATTATTGACATACTCAAAACTTTAAAAATTGGTAAAGCTGTAGGAAATGATACAATTAGTCATAATATGTTAAAGAACACTGCTAATTCAGTTGCTTATCCGCTATCTTTAATCTTTCGTTCTTCTTTGGAGACTGGATCTTTCCCCAGACAATGGAAGCTTGCTCTAGTGATGCCAATTTTTAAAAAAGGAGATAAACAAGACCCCTCAAATTATAGACCTATTGCATTGCTAAGTACTGTTGGTAAGGTTTTTGAAAGATTAGTTGCTAAACATTTACATAACTACCTTTTAGAGAATTCTCTAATATATAAGTATCAGTCAGGTTTCCAACCAGGTCATTCTACCGTACACCAGCTTATAAAAATATACCACAACTTGTGCGACAATCTTGAAAAAAAGCAACCCACCTGTTTAGTCTATTGTGATATTTCTAAGGCATTCGATCGAGTGTGGCACAGGGGGCTGGGGGTGAAAATAGCTAGCTATGGAATATCGGGTAAGTTATTGGAAAGGTTAATTGATTATATTACAAATAGATCTCAACAAGTATTTTTTGGAAACAGTAAATCCTCTGTTATGACAACTAATGCAGGAGTACCTTAGGGTTCAGTCTTAGGTCCGTTGTTGTTCATACTTTATATTAATGATATAACAGATAATTTAGAAAGCTTATCAAATTTTTTTGCAGATGATACTTCTCTATTATGTTCAGATAAATCCCCACAAATATTAGAACAAAAAATTAATAACGATCTAAGAAATATTCAATTGTGGGCTGATAAATGGTTAGTTAGTTTTAATCCTGCAAAACCGAGGCTTTACTTATTTCTAATATAGAACTAGATCACCTGATTGAAATAGATTTTAATAATATCAGTATAGACTTTGTTGATAACCATAAACATCTGGGAGTATTCATCGATGCTAACTGTAAGTGGAGCTACCATATTGACAATATTTGTAAAAAAAGTAGTCAAGAAATTAGGTGTTCTCCGTAAATTGAAATATAATCTAAACCGCCATACATTAAATAAGATATATAGATCGTTTATACTTCCTATTCTAGAATATTGCTGTGAAGTTTGGGATGGTTGTTCTCTTACTGATACAGACAAGTTAGAAAAGTTACAATTAGAGGCAGGACGTATTGTCACCGGTTTACCTTCCTATGCTAGTAGACAATCTATATATACTGAAACGGGATGGGAATCCCTAGCCCACCGAAGGTCCCGTCGGAAACTGCAATTATTTTATAAAATTGATCATAATATTACTCCTAACTATCTAAACACTCTACTACCTCCTCTTGTCGAAAATGCTCGATATAATCTTAGAAACGCCGAAAACTACAACCTGCCTAACAACAGACTAGAGTTATCTAACATGTCTTACTTTCCTTCTACTATTAGACTCTGGAATCAGTTAACTTTAAGTATATGGCATAGCTCATCTTTTTCATCGTTTAAAAATGCCACTAGAGACAAACATTTGCCCCATGTACCCAATTACTTTTTCTACGGTGATAGAAAAAATAAGATCCTGCATACAAAACTAAGAAACCGTTCTAGCACTTTGAAAAACGATCTATTCCGAGTTAACCTGGTTGATGACCAACGTTATATGTGTGGTTACCCTATTGAAGACACCTTCCATTTCTTTTTTACTGTGATAATTATGTTGAACAGAGAATTAAACTTTATCGTGAACTGAATGCATACATCCCCCTTACATTGAATCTACTTCTTTTTGGAGATATAACAATTTCGGAACAAGAAAACAAAATTATATTTATGAATACTCAGCAATATATACAAGACTCGAACAGATTTTAACACCCTTCACCCCTCAAAATCGACATCTTTATTAATACATGTATCTTATTAATACTAATAGATTGACAACACGAGTTGCAACATACAAATATACGTATATATATAAGTATAATGAAGTCGTGTGTTTGGTCTTTCTCTGTGCGGACGGACTAGTTGAAACGGAAATACCAGCAAGAACGGAGTAAACAGGAGGAAGTTATAATAGCACGGGATGTGATGAACATTGATCAGAAGAAAGTTGTGAACAGCGAATAGTATAACTAGTCCGTTCGCATGGAGAAGGAACAACCACGTGGTCTGATATATATTTTCTTAAATTTACAGTCTTGTTGCAGTACTTATCTAGTACTCTTAAAAATTTTATCCTCTAACCCCTTCTTCCCTCTCTCTCTCCTCCCCTCTCACCATCCCCCTATCTCTCTCTCTTCCTTTATCTACATGTGCATGTTTATATTTGTGCGCATGTGTGTGGTTCGGTGCGTGAATGTGTGGGTGTATGTATGTCACTGATTAATTAATTTATAATACATAGCTTATTTACGTAGTTCTGCCATCATGAAATTTTGTTAAAAAATATTATTGTACAGGGAAAGGGCTTGATATAAGTTGTAAAACTTGTGCCCAATTCCATTGCTATGTAAAAAAGGCAATAAATATGTTTAAAACTAAAACTAGCGGGGTTGTTGTAATACAACACTTGTTCTATTATCGGGGTCGTTGTAATACAACACTTGCTCTATTAGCGGGGTCGTTGTAATACAACACTTGTTCGATTAGCGGTGTCGTTGTAATACAACACTTGTTCTATTAGCGGGGTCGTTATAATACAACACTTGTTCTATTAGCGGGGTCGTTGTAATACAACACTTGCTCTATTAGCGGGGTCGTTGTAATACAACACTTGTTCGATTAGCGGGGTCGTTGTAATACAACACTTGTTCTATTAGCGGGGTCGTTGTAATACAACACTTGCTCTATTAGCGGGGTCGTTGTAATACAATACTTTTTCGATTAGCGGGGTCGTTGTAATACAACACTTGCTCCATTAGCGGGGTCGTTGTAATACAACACTTGCTCTATTAGCGGGGTCGTTGTAGTACAACACTTGTTCGATTAGCGGGGTCGTTGTAAGCTTCAGAGCTTATGTGTGTTGTTTACAATGCATACGACGCTATATTATAGGAATATTATCAAAATACAGTCCCCTTATGAATCGAAGACTTTTCCAGTAACTTCCATTCGCTTTTGAAGATGTTCGACACTACTCCATGGATTGGTTTGGTTTGGTTTAGTATTGTTTAACGTCCTAACAGCAGCTATGGTCATTCAAGGACGGCCTCCCCTGTGTGAAAGATGCATGCGTGTAGTGTATGCGTGGGTGTTTTGGGAGGCTGCGATATGTTCGTGTTTGTCTCCTTGTGATAGCGCGGAACTGATGCCGACTTTATAGTGCTACCTCACTGAAACATACTGCCGAAGACACTCACCAGGACGCCCCACCCGGTCACATTATACTGACAACAGGCAAACCGTTCGTTCCACTCCTAAATTGCTGAGCGTTATAAGCAGGAATAGAATCTACCATTTTTACAGACTCTGGTATGTATCGGCCAGGGGACAGAACCCAAAGCCTTCCTCACAGGGGCGAACGCTCAACTAAAGGCCAAAAGTGAGGCATTGTCAAGGAGGACATTAGGAAGAAGAAAAATGTTTCGAAAGAAGAGAAAAGATAAGATCCCAAATTAAGTCGCCTCTTACGAGGCGCCACTATCATTTTTCTACTCAGTAATGCTACTCTTCATCTATGCATTCGTCCTCTACATTTTCCTTTCTATCGTTTGTTATGTTTTTCTGATCATCTGCATCTTCATCGGTTTTCACTTCCGGTTTATCTGCTAGCGACACAGTTTAAATCGATCGTACTTTTGAAGCTTTGATTGCACCTGCCTTCCGCAAACCAGCTGCCACTGCCATCGCTATTATAGGAACTGTTATCAGCGAGACGAGCGGGAGTAGACTACCAGACTCTGTTGCCACGGAGCTTGCTGACACGGAGGTGCATCCTAAAATTAGTTAATGGAGTCTATTTGAAATGATAAATTAACACAGAATCCGAATCCTAGGTACATTGTGTAGAGTATATTTAACCCCCCACCCCGCAAACAAAGTTTTGAAGGTATACAGATACAGAAACTACCCTTTCCGTCCATCGTCTGTCTGTCTGTCTTAACATGCACCTCTTACGTGCAACTCATCCTTAACCTTTGTTGGATGTTTCGTAAGAGTTGTCCTCTGGAGAAGAGACTGACTCACAGTACTAGAATAAATCTTTCGTAAATGCCATGCAAAGGCAATTATTACACTATTTCCTTCTGACGCTTTGGGGTGGATTCTACGTTATCTCAATTTACAGAATCAATAGCTGTATTCTCGATTTAAAGCACTGGTAACACAATCTATCTACATTGATGGGACGTTCATTTGCATTTTTATAATTAATCCGATATGACATAGCGTTTTACTGGAATACGGGATATGCTTTGTGGTATTGACGCTTACAAAATGTAATATGAATTACAAATATCAAATTTCTTAAAATGACGTGGTTTTAAATTGCATAACGGATATTATTTATTTACGTTTGTTTTTGTAATGTCTCATGAGGCAGATGATGGAAATATAAAATACAAACCAGCTCCGTTCCTGCTGTATGCCATAACGAATCCATTCCATTCGTCACTACTGTCTGACGTCATAGTGACAATGGCTGACGTATTGCTGGTAGCATAGTCCTTTGTGGAGTACCAATCATTTTGAACACACAGCTTTTCGGTCGGATTGTCATCTATCAACAAAAACACAGCCAACGTGACGTCATCTGACTTAGAAATCGAATCATTCTTTGATCAGGGTTTCAATCAAACTTTTCCCTGATATAGAATCAACGTAATTAAAAATCTGTCGTAACGTTTCAAGACCGGCTGGCCTCCTTTACAAGGAATCAATCTTGTCCAAGATACTATTCAGTCTTGAAACGTTGCATCGTGTTTATATATACCTGGCGCGTGTTTAAACTCAAGCTTTGATATTAACATATTTGCTTACTTACAAATATCATTGCAATAAATGGAAATGTTTTAAATAAATGTGATTAACGATTTTATTTAACAGTTAGGTTATACTGTAAATCATCTTATCTTTCGAAAACCTGAATTTCAGACCCGTATTTTATCGGAATCCATCACAAGAAATGTTAGAATACAGTACAACTGTTGTTACGAAGTACTGTCAAACCTTTGTATTTGATATTCCATATAGCTATGCTATACTCAAAATGAGCCCGGAAAAAAACCCATGATAAATAATCCTGTGTATTAAAAAGCACAACAGAATACCGAAGAATAATAGAATAAAATCAAAACTCGAACTCCACACTGATAACACTAGGCACAATATGGACAAAGAAATATTAACATGGAGCCCTTTGCTAAAGTACAGCACAAGACCAGGTGTTCCGGAATGGAAAGCACTATAAGAAACTAATTATGACAATAAGCATGCTTATATATACCTGGCTTGTGTTACATGTATGTACCTGTGAACAGACCATTTTCTAATTACCATACTGCTCAATTCTACGCAACCTCGCTCGTCCCAGTGTGAACTCTACTATTGTATGTTTACCGTATGTAAGAGTGAGGAAGTCGGAATCACATCCTTCCACGCTCAGATAGATAGTGTCCAGTACTAGCGTGCCACAGTCTCCCTGGGCACTTATTGTCCACGAACAACTGGTGGAGCTGTAATAAATACGTTCATCACTAAAACGGACTTTGAGATTTGTGAATGTTGCTGTGTGATTGTGATATATTGTAGTTTTAAAATGTTCTTCCACTTGACTCCCGACTTTATCTTAATGAAAACAACGCTCACGTGAAAAGGTTGACAACTATAATTAAGCTGGCCCCGTCTCTTTGCCCTTTGATGCATGAAAGAATGAGACATTTATTGGTTTGATGTTTGGTGTCTAATCCTAATTTTCATATAAGGGAAGATAAACTGCAGGACATTCCTTTACAAAAAGAAGCCAGGCTAACATCAAAATAGAATCAATCGACTTTAACATATATTTTTTCTGGCGGGAAATAGTGTGCAAATGAAGGTCACTGGGCTAAGACAATTGTACTTACAGGCGAAACCTTATCGGTAATGCTGAACGTATGAGTTGTTCTTTGCTGAATATAGTGCATTTCCAAATGAGATTTGACAGGGATACATGCAGTGAAGCAGTATACTGCCCGGGAGTTGTTAACCGATTGGCTGACACCACAGGGACCTGAGAATTTGTTACAGCTATATTTGGACCTAAACTAAGGTGTTCAGAGTAATTTTACATGGTTTAGGGGTTTAGATCGACTTTCGTTAAAAATGATAAATTGGGTGTCTAAATATAGCTGTACAAATTATCGGTTCCCTTTGGCTGACCCTAGTGTACTTACGTCGGATACTTAGCCGGAAAGTTTTGACTCGTCAGGTATTTTACGGAATCTGTCGCAGTCAGAGAGGCCGCTGTACAACCTGTATATAATACAAGTTATTATAGCATCATTTAAACCATCCGTACTGTGACGTCACATGATACATATAGGCCGACCAGGTTCCAAACCGGTCCTTGTTTATTATTTTATAACTGCTACATGCGGGAAGATGTAGCAGTCAACCACAGGGTCACGTTACACATGTCTGAAATACACATATGCTATACTGATACGGGTCACAACAAACATAAACATACACAGGGTCACGTTACACATGTCTGAAATACACATATGCTATACTGATACGGGTCACAACACACATAAACATACACAGGGTCACGTTACACATGTCTGAAATACACATATGCTATACTGATACGGGTCACAACACACATAAACATACACAGGGTCACGTTACACATGTCTGAAATACACATATGCTATACTGATACGGGTCACAACAAACATAAACATACACAGGGTCACGTTACACATGTCTGAAATACACATATGCTATACTGATACGGGTCACAACACACATAAACATACACAGGGTCACGTTACACATGTCTGAAATACACATATGCTATACTGATACGGGTCACAACAAACATAAACATACACAGGGTCACGTTACACATGTCTGAAATACACATATGCTATACTGATACGGGTCACAACACACATAAACATACACAGGGTCACGTTACACATGTCTGAAATACACATACGCTATACTGATACGGGTCACAACACACATAAACATACACAGGGTCACGTTACACATGTCTGAAATACACATATGCTATACTGATACGGGTCACAACACACATAAACATACACAGGGTCACGTTACACATGTCTGAAATACACATACGCTATACTGATACGGGTCACAACACACATAAACATACACAGGGTCACGTTACACATGTCTGAAATACACATATGCTATACTGATACGGGTCACAACACACATAAACATACACAGGGTCACGTTACAAATGTCTGAAATACACATACGCTATACTGATACGGGTCACAACACACATAAACATACACAGGGTCACGTTACACATGTCTGAAATACACATATGCTATACTGATACGGGTCACAACACAAGTGATGTTTATGTGTGTTGTGACCCGTATCAGTATAGCAACTGAAAGGGTACATTGTATGACCGGTAACACTATTGAATCATTATTACGTATAACTATATACTGTTCCTACTGATGTGGAACAGATCGTTCACACCTCAATGAACACAAATAGTGTTTCGCTGATTTACTATTGACGTGATAATAGATAACGAACATAACATTTTGTTGTAATTAAAAACGAGATAATTACAAAGACGGGCTCTATAAATAACTGTACCCACAACTTAAACTTTGATGCCATATACTGTAATATCCTGATTGAAATTATCTACACTGCATATGGACAAGCTTATTTTGAGTTTATTACACAGTAATGTTAATAAAACAAAATCTTATTTTGACAATGATTTGAAAAAAAAATTGAAGAAACTTTAAGCCGAATACTGTATCCAATGATTACATTTGACTCTTTGGTCACTTGGCATGATTTAACTGAGCTACACGAAAGCTTGTGTGAGCACAAAATCCATGCTTGAGCATGAGAACGGTTTCATATTTTTTTTTCATTTCAAAATATTTTATTAAATCAATTGATTCAATGGGAATTGGGCAACAGGCTTTGCCTATAAGAGCCCTCTCCTTTGGGTTACATACATTTCAAACAATAACATAATTATAATTAAGACATTAAAACATTAGCACTGGCTTGGAACATTAAATAGTACTTAATACTTAATACTTAATAGTCTCTATCTATCTCTGAACTAAGCAAAAGTAAACATTTAAAAATTTAAATTACTGAGGTAAAACAAATACAGTTGGGTTTTTTGTTATTTTTCTTTACATAGTAACCTGAGTATATAAAATATATTTCAAAACGGAAAGCCATGTGTGTATACTCATTTGTAAATAATCAAATTTTATAAATTTTACAACATATATTATTATCAAAAACTGGAACCTTCATTCAATACAGTAAATATTAAATATTATTAGTTGAATAATTTGTAACACCAACAAGTCCTCCATCACCACTCCTACTCCAGATAACAATCATAACTGGGCAGCACTAAAATGTCCATACCCACCACCACCACTGTGTGCTTACCCAGTCATTGACAATCCAGAGCAGGAGCCGTGTTAAAGGAGTATTCATATAGACATGTATACATACACATTGGGACTAGAATTAGCAGTTATTTCCAAAGCTGTTAGCAGACTCAATATATTTCTGAACACAGACACAAATAGCAGAATTAGGATCATGACTAAGGTGGTTACTTGTTCAGTGTTATTGTGATGGAATCTGTTGTGCAAGGTCCAACAGTAGAAAAGAGTCAATACTATGTATCAAGGGGAAAAGCTTAGAGTTAGAAAAGGGCGGAAAACGAAAAGATAAATTATTGTAATTGGCGCTATGCAAACTTTATTCTCCCAAACATTTCAAAAACGAGGCACACCAGAGTTTGAAAGTGAAAATCCTCTTCGCTCTTCCCACACACTTTTTGTTGATTGTAAATTAATGGAAAGAATTAACGACAATCAACAGCCAGTTATTATTAACGCACTTGTCATGTAGGATGTTTGGTACTATTGTTGACTAAGCATGTTGATTGTTTCGTATTAGAAAATCAGTAGAAGAGTTTATGGGTCCAGGAAACCTAGCTTCATATAGAGACTGTGTTCAAAGATGTTGCATCACATAAACATGTCATCTGTACAAAGTGTCATACCCCTGATACTAGCTCGACATCCTGCATGCTCGTAGGTTCTCAAGGTCTCGCTGACTTTGTATTGTAGCAGCAGTATCAAAATGTTGAATTCTTAATCTTACCGTAATCATTCGTTGAAGCAGACATGTATCGGATTCGGAATCCCTGTTGACCCGCCGTGCCAACTGTGCCGTCAGACGTGAACCGGATGTAGGCATTACCGGAAGTGGCTACTTCAGAAACCGTCTGGCCAGTCGATGCCGTGGCGGTGAATAGGGTGGTACCCGACGTACTTGTTCCTGTAAATACATATATATAAATCAAAGTCGTAAAAACGTGTATTTATCTATTAGCTGGAGACGTTTATAGAGACACCATTATATAACTAGTCTTTTATTGTTAGAATAGAAGTTTTGATTTCAGAATAAAGATGTCGACTGCGAGTCACTGCATAGATGATTAAGAAACAACTGATGGTAAATTAACACGTGCCAGTTAAAGATTAATGCCTTTTCATTAGGTTTAACAGTCATTATCAATTCCATTCGAAGATATTAACATCGGTGCATCCGACATTTTGGTTTGTTCGTTGAACCATACTACCCAGAAAACTAGCTCAATTTAATTAAAAAATGTTTCTTTAGCGTGTGCTTATTCTTTATGCACACAGTCTAGCAGGATTGTTTTCTGATTTATGCTAATTCTATTTATTTCAAACAGAAAAATTAGAACCGACTTACCGTCGTAAATACGCAGAAAGTCGCCGGTTGCTATGGTCGAGATGCTGACGTGGAATAGCAGACTATGAGAGGCAGGCATGGACGACTCAATCAGCCAAGCACAGTCGAGTGACCTACATATTTACACCGTAATAAAATCACAGATGACAGATTTAAACCAGCATTTACTAACAAAAAGGGGAAAAATAGAAGGAATGATTTACATTTACTTTCAGCGTTCTTATTGTACAGGTGCAATATACGAAAGGAACAGGGCAACAGGCAAATCATGTAAAAGCTATTACACAATTATTATTATTATTGTATTATTAACAATAATTCATGAAAATCCTGTTCTGTAATACCGTGTGTTTCTCTGAAGTATAATACATGGTACTTATCAAAACTAAAAGATATATCCAGGAAAACACAATGAAAACAAAGAACACAAACGAATATTATATAAATATATAAAAGGGATGAGATATACGATAGAGAACAAACTGATAGATAGTTATATAATAAACTCGGTATTTTCTGGAGAGATGCAGGCGTAGAAACAATGTTGATGTGACAGAAATTACACAAATACAGAAATATCCTTATTCGGGTTTGAGTCATACAGACGTCAATACAACCCATTTTATTTCATTAGACAGACATGAGATTAACATGGTCGAGTCAAAAGCAACAGTGACGTAAACAACCAAAACCATTATTGTACCAGGAATTGGACATATGCATATCAGGAGAAAGCAATAAGTACGGATCAATTTGTCTTTGCTGTGTCCAATAAGAGAATGCCCCACTGTAATCCGAATATGCCGAACTAGAATTCATTAAATGAGAACAGACAACTTATCAACCTGAGTCAGCAAGATATACAAATGTACATACCGACGGGACAGCCAACTACATATATGTTAATAGTTACGCATGCGCAGTGTATGAAAGTATATGGTACACAACAAGGTACAACCAAGATGGCGACTGACAGCGGAAGCAGTGTATATATGCCTTGATTCAAAGAGCCATTGGTATGTTACATCACCAAAGACAGGCACACAATGTACGAAATACGTACAACAGATTCAAAAGTTACCTTATATATATTTTTTTTTTTTTACATATTTCAAAACTAAAAACGAATGAAAAACTTTCTTGACTACTAATCAAGAATACTCATACAAAAATTACCACATAAAAGAAATATTTCACACAAAAATAACAAGAAACGCGCAAAAAGACATACTCGCCGTAGGAGCCACTGACTGGATACGTCATTTCCCCCATAGCATAGGAACCGGAAGTAGCAGCAAGGGTCAAATGTGTTCCGGCACATTGTGAGTAAGCTGTCATATATGATAAATATTTTGATTTTATGGAATGCTAACCAGAAATATCGTGATCAAGCTATCACAAATAAATGATTTTTGTCAAAAGTTGATGACACGTAGTGAATTTAGCTTAGTTCTTCAGTGAGGCCTTGAAAGTGATGACTTCAAAAATTATTCACCGATATTATACTTCGTAACACGTCAATCTCTTAATTATTTGTAATAAAGTTGAATGCTACGAAATGTCATATTTTGGGACTTTTATACATCCATCCCTAGGTGATACGAAGCTTCATTTAAATAATCCCTTGTTATCTATGGAGAGCATACCGACATCAAATCAACACTGCATAAGCCATAAGAAATCACAAAAAGAAAATATGCAGGTTACCTATCTTAACCGTATATAAATGTAAATATCAAGCATAGGTTGTGTCTGGATATTCTACTCATGGAGCAACGTCTGTTTGACGGGTGACGTTACCTATTCATGTTTCTTTTGGTTTAATATTTGAATGGTCTACCTGGATAAACCCTTTCGTGTGAGATCAGCTATGACAGTTACACATAATGCTATACTCTGAAAGAGACGTGGACATGTGCACGTTAACAAAAGGTACATCATGAAGGTATTATATGTTCCCAGACTTATGTATGAAAGCGTTGTAGTGACAAATTATTTATTGCCGTCGTCAAATAATAAAACAACAACACAAAACATCACCGTATTAAGAATTGCGTCGTATATAACTATTTTAATTATTCAATTTGTATGTCAATTTTTCTGCTCTGTAGTAGGTAGACTATATTTACTACAGAAAATTCAAACTGTTTAATTAACAAACAAAAACTCCGCCACTGAAAACCCCTCCCCCCTGACCTCTTGATTTCAAACCAGAGAGATGTTCTGCCTAACACCGTACCATATACTGCTCCAGGTAAGCTATCAGATCTGGCACCCTTAATTCCCCTTGAAGATATTGCAGGAAACCTACCTGCTGCACCATCGGTCGTGTATAATTAGTTTCTTTTTACAACATTGAACAAACGTACCCGCTCGGGAGTTACTCATTTTAACCCAATATTATAACCTTTATTTTATTGTGTGCAAAATCAGCTTATTAAGAATACATCTTTTAAATCATAGAAATTTGTGTCGTATTTGCGTTTGCTGGTTAAATTCTGTGAATTTCAAATTGCTTTAAGAATCAGGGAAAATGAAGTGGAAGTGTGTATTGTTACTTTGCACATCTAACTTTCGAAATGACTGCATGCACATTATAGAATTATGTCATACAGTTATTGTTTGGGTTAAAATTCGGATGTTGCTTCATACTGGTATTATAACTTTCCATATCTTTTATTAACTTCGTCCTGCTATTTAACCGTGTTTCCACCCAAAATAATGTATAAGTATTGATAAAATTATCGATCAATCGATAGATAAATTTATTTGAGCTTTTCTGTCTTTGTAATGTACTGACAAAACCCCTACTAAGCTGCGTCACAGATATGACATAGCATAGACAATGTGGTATGGCAGCGCACCTGACAACGGGATAAACAGAGGCACGCAGGTAATATGGTTACACAGACAAAAGAAATGATATCACACATGTTTTATAGGGAGCAGCAGATCAATTTAGTGTTATCGATGAAACTATATGGGATTTCCTTTTAAGAAAATATTGGGGGGGGGGGGGGGGGACTGCGGTGGGTCGAGTGGTTAAGGTGTCTGACATTCCGCTACCACTAGCGTTAGTTCGGTGGGTTTTCTCCGGGTACTCCAGATTTCCCCCATCGCGAAAACCTGACACGTCCTTGTATGAACATAGCTGCTAATAGGACGTAACACCCAAACAAACAAACAGAAAAGAATCTCTAGCATTATTTGACAACTCTTTGTTACACGAAAGTAATTAAGGACTGTTTCATTTTAATGATAACATAATTTCAAGTTACTTCGGTATATGAGAACATGCGTGTCAACGCCAACTTACCTTGCCGATTGCCAGCTATAATCAAAACTAGCAAGCATATACCATGATGAAACTTCGAGAATTCCATTCGTACTCTTGTTGTAAATTCGGATGTCTTTCTCGTATACCTGCAATATAAACCAAATCAAACAAATATTGTAATATTCCAATTTCGGTATCGTTGCAATTTTGTATTTTTGTTCTTTTCACGTTGTTTCCTATAAATCAAGTCATACATTTCCCCGTGGTATTCTTTTGATTCTCTTGTGTAAGTAGCCAGTTAGACAATGAAATGTGCATACAGACAGTATCATCAACACGAACACCTTAGAAGGAGCAAAACTGTTATCGTTATTTAATTTATTTTATTTCGTTTAGTTATTTTATAATTATAACTTTTTTGTTTTTTTGTTTTTTTTGCTTTTTTAAAATTGGTCTTTGCCATACAAGTACAGTTATAAAAGGTTTACCTTCGTTGGCGATGATTAGCGTCCTGCTAAAACATCGGAGTTCTTCAGATTTGCACGTTAAATTGCTGATGTTGTTATCAAACTTGTGCAACGCTTGTGTAATACACTTTCTCGTGGTGTTAAAAATCCAGCTGCACATGTGTATGGTTTACCTTTAAATGCATAGACAACAAATAATTACGTGTATACCTATAGCGACACAACACTCGTCGTTCTGTTCAATCATAGAAGCTCATCAAACATTTATATATGCAAGAAATTTGGTCGAGTCAGATGATGAATAGACTGACATTCTCTCATTGTTTAGCATCATGGGTTGCTACAGTAATTGTTGTACTTACTTTAAGCCAGTGAGAAACGGTTGGTTAGTTACTTTGTAACAAACTGAACGCCAAACGGAAACTATGAATATTGACAATGTAAAGCATTCTCTGTTCGTGTAATGTCTATACCTACCTGTGCTAAATCAGGGTTTTTGATGGACGGTCACCTAGACCCGCTGCGTTCGTTCAAGGTTAAGCTAAATGATAGGTGAAAACAGTACTATTATGAAATCAAATCGTTCAAGAGTCTAGGAGAAGTACGTATTGACAGGCAACATTTTAGCGTAAACGAGAAATTGCAATGGTGTACTCTTTATTGAACTTTAAAACTATTGCGGAAACGTTGGAAGTGCTGTAACGGAATAAATAAATGATTTATTTAAAGATATGTTTTTTTAGTTAACACACATGTTTCCAGAACCGCGGTGTCATCTATAGGACTGATTACGGATTTTCTCCCAATGTCAACTTTTTTGGACTCTTTGAACTAAACATTAAATGAATGCATAATAAGATATTGCTCAGCATAACCTAAAACTTGATAAATCAATATATAATGAACTTATTTGTTTCACCTTTCTCCGCTACTTCAGGGTTTCTTATGAATCTTCTCTATTTTTATAGCTTTTCAATTTTCCTTTACTTCCTGCCAAGTGTTTTTTGTTTCCTAGCATCTCTCTCAGCAATACCATACGTTTAGCCTTACATGTGATACCTGTTTAACGTTCAGTAATTAGGATGATCGCAACAACTGGTTTATCATTAACCCAGTATAATGTGACTGGGCAGAAAGCTGTACTGGGTGCCTTCGGCATGATATTTCAGTGAGACAGCACTATATAATTGGCATCAGATCCGCGCTATCGCAAGGAGGCAATAACATAAACATATCGCCTCCATCACACAAACACGCATGCACGCATACATAACACACACGGAGACACGCCATCAAATGGCCTGAGCTGTTAATATGACGTTAAACAAAATAAAACCGAATCAAAACAAACGTCTTTTTTATGATTCTCTTCAGTTTCATGTTGTGTTAACATTTCCAATCATCTGTGACCTTTCAATGCAATAAGTAGCCCCCGCCATCAGAGGAAAACGGCGTCGTTTCACCATAGCTGTTGCAAAGATGTAAACCAACTACAAAATAATAACAAAAATTAAATTCAGTACGATGCATGGAAAATGTTAGTGTTATTGCGTATACAAACATTGGCAATATGCAAATAACATGACATTACGGAATTATATAAATACACAATATAGTCAAGTCAATGCATTGTATTGTTTTTTGAGTGTCATATATCACAATTACATTGATACATTTTAACAAATATTCTGTTACATAACATAAAACCATAAAGCTGCATAGAAGGGATCAAATATCTGATACATGTTTAAAACATGTATTTAATGGCAGTCATCGCTGTCGGTAAAGTAGTCTCGTTCAACCAGACGCTTGATCACTTGTCATTCGGCGAAGAGTCTGTTTGAACGAGACTACAAACCGGTACATACATGTACGCAACGGATTCACTTCATTGAGCGCTTACATAAATTTCAGTTTTATTTTGTGTTGTATAAAGTCTGCTGTTCAAAGTAATGCGATATGTGCATCACGTAGGCACAATTAACGCACGTACAGAACGTGCATGTATATTGCCAATGAACATACAGTGTATTTAACCATTCATTTGTGATGTTAAGGAGCTAATGACAAACCACAATTGTGCTACCTCGACATATACATATTTATATTGTTGTCTGTTTGTCGTTTTCGTTCAGTAACATCCTGTGTTCCTCTCATAGCAGACCATTGTAATGCTAAATAATTCATGTGATCAGCAGACCCGATAATAAACACGAGGAGATTGGTATACCCCTTACGAACCAAGAACACGAGCAGTAAACAGGCATCCCAATACACATAAGTTATCGTTAAAGGTGACTTATAGGGACCCCCTTCATAATCAGGTTTATATTCTGTCTTCTGCTTGGGGAATATTTGAAAAAAAATCAACATTGACCTAGTGCCCTTATATCTGTAATCTTTTATCACTTCTCTCACACTGCACCCCATTGGAACGCTCGGGATATATCTGTTATCTTTTATCACTTCTCTCACACTGCCCCCCACTGGAACGCTCGGGATATATCTGTTTTCTTTTATCACTTCTCTCACACTGCCCCCCACTGGAACGCTCGGGATATATCTGTTTTCTTTTATCACTTCTCTCACACTGCACCCCATCGGAACGCTCGGGATATATCTGTTATATTTTATCACTTCTCTCACACTGCCCCCCATTGGAACGCTTGGGATAAATCTGTTTTCTTTTATCACTTCTCTCACACTGCCCCCTAATTAACCTAGAATTCCATGGCGAGCGCGTTGAAGAGGCGGAAGACTCTTGCCATTCCCCTGCAGGTCGGGGATCGGGAAAAGAATACACTTGCTGTTACATGTACCCACTGCATGTATCGTAGGAGGTAACTAATGTTGAAACCCCAGCAGAATTGGGGATTTGCTTTGGTGTCCTCTATTTGGGGACACAAAATCGACCAAAATATATCTGCTGCACCCATTGCAATATCTGGGATCTTTATCTTTCTTTCTACTTCTAACTACCTTTTATTTTTTAGCGCCTTTTATTAATTGCTTGGCAAAACCTCACTTTTGGCCTTAATGTTGAGCGTTTACCCAGGTGAGGAAGGCAATAGGTTCTGTCCCCAGGCCGGGACATACCAAAGTCCTTAAAAATGGTAGTTGTTAGTCCCTGCTTAACGTTCAGCATTCATTGATATTGTGGTTCACCTGTTGTCAGTATTATGTGACCGGGCGGAATGCTGTGCTTGGTGCCTTCGGCATGGTATTTCAGTGAGATGGCACTATCAATTCGGTATCAGATCCGCGCTATCACAAGGAGACAAGCACGCCAACATACTCTGTCCCCTACATACACACACGCAAGCACGCATACATTACACACACGGAGACACGTCCTTAAATGACCTTAGCTGTTTATAGGACGTTAACTAAACCTTGCCATTCCTGAATACCTGGTACCGTATTCATGAAACTGTTCTCATCCACGAGCATGGGTTCTGTGCTCAAATCAGCTTTCTTGTAATTCCATTTAATAGTGTGACACGGTAAAAAAAAGTCAAGTGCAAACATTTTTAACAGTTTTCTGCTTGACGTCTCTCTAAAGTTCATCCAAATCACGAACAAAATGTGATATTTTTATTTATTTATCACAGAAACAAGAAATAAGCCTCTAGCACAGAATCTGAGTATGACCAGGAGCTCCATGAATGGTCTCCGGTAATTTGTTTCCTTTATTGATATTTTGCCATACGTAAAACAATTTAGAGTTAGAATAACGGTTTCATAACATTTGGGTAATCTCTTCGTCTCTGAAAATCTAGAAAGGTAAAACATGTACCCCAGCACTCCGGTTTTTCTACGACGGTGCGATACCCAAGTATACAAGGTACAATATGCGTGCTTACAATTTGCTTTGAAAGATTTTGTTATACATATGTAACATATTCCAGGGATGCAGAGAATACAGGTGTTTCGGGAAAGGAGCCCTCGGATTTCGGAGGTATAGTGAATGTTACTTAAGTTATACTTTGAATAATGCAACGTTGAAACTTTGCAGTGGCTACTATGTGTACAGTGAAATAGTTTAATTGTATCATTTTATCACGCGGAGCTGATACAGTATGAAAGTATTTTTTACCGTATTGATCAATTCTGTAATGTGGCCATCGGGTACCATTACCTTTAAAAACGTGCCACTTTCAACGGGCGAAAAAAATAACAGAGATCTGCTTGTTCTTAAAAAGTGTGTTGAGCTTTTCAGAATGACCAGATGCTTGCTGTACTCATCACCGAACACGATGAAAATAGAGCACTCCAGCTTTTTGGAGAAAATTACATTATTTGGTCATGTTGTCACGCGTTATGTATTTTGGTAATGTCGTCTAAAGCTAATTGGTAATGTCGTCTAACGTTACTTGGTAATGTCGTCTAACGTTACTTGGTAATGTCGTCTAACGTTACTTGGTAATGACGTCTAACGTTACTTGGTAATGACGTCTAACGTTACTTGGTAATGTCGTCTAACGTTACTTGGTGATGTAGTCTAACGTTACTTGGTGATGTTGTCTAATGTTATTTGGTGATGTAGTCTAACGTTGCTTGGTAATGTAGTCTAACGTTACTTGGTAATGTTGTCTAACGTTACTCAGTCATGTCGTCTAACGTTATTTGGTAATGTAGTCTAATGTTAGTTGGTCATGTCGTCTAACTTTACCTGGTAATGTAGTCTAACTTTACTTGGTGATGTAGTCTAACGTTACTTGGTAATGTAGTCTAACGTTACTTGGTAATTTCCTCTAACGTTACATGATGATGTATACTAACGTTACTTTGTAATATCGTTTAACGTGACTTGGTAATGTCGTCAAACGTTACTTTGTAATGTCGTTTAACGTTACTTGGTAATGACGTCTAACGTTATTTGGTAATGTCGTCTAACGTTACTTGGTAATGACGTCTAACGTTACTTGGTAATGTCGTCTAACGTTATTTGGTAATGTCGGCTAACGTTACTTGGTAACGTAGTCTTACATTACTTGATAATGTCGTCTCACGTTATTTGGTAATGTCGTCTAACGGTACTTAGTAACGTAGTCTTACATTACTTGGTAATGTCGTCTCACGTTATTTGGTAATATCGTCGAACGTTATTTGGTAATGTCGTCTAACGTTACTTGGTCATGTCGTCTAACGTTACTTTGTAATGTCGTCTAACGTTATTCATCTAACGTTACTTGGTCATGTCGTTTAACGTTACTTGGTAATGTCGTCTAACGTCACTTGGTAATGTCGTCTAACGTTACTTTGTAATGTCGTCTAACGTTATTCATCTAACGTTACTTGGTCATGTCGTTTAACGTTACTTGGTAATGTCGTCTAACGTCACTTGGTAATGTCGTCTAACGTTACTTTGTAATGTCGTCTAACGTTATTCATCTAACGTTACTTGGTCATGTCGTTTAACGTTACTTGGTAATGTCGTCTAACGTCACTTGGTAATGTCGTCTAACGTTACTTTGTAATGTCGTCTAACGTTATTCATCTAACGTTACTTGGTCATGTCGTTTAACGTTACTTGGTAATGTCGTCTAACGTGACTTGGTAATGTCGTCTAACGTTACTTGGTAATGTAGTCTAACGTTACTTGGTAATATCGTTTAACGTTACTTGGTAATGTCGTCTAACGTTATTTGGTCATTTCATCTAACGTTACTTGGTCATGTCGTTTAACGTTA